CTTGAAAAAAACGAATTCTTTATTTCCAGTATTTCAATTTGGTGTTTAGTTAATAAATAATTCTTATAATATTTTATTGGATTCCTTAGAGAGTTCTTCTTCGGCTAATTCTCAGCAAGCTGTTACGCAAATCTATGTGTTTTTGTTAACGATTCAATTCCGCCCAGTTGCTTGCGCCCATAAAACGTGAATATAAAACTGTGAGAGTAACGCATGACTCTTAATGAAAAGTATATTATCTCACATAAAAACATTTACGCTCGTTTTCAACGTTGGTTATTAAATTAAATCATAATTTACACACGTCGAGTTAAATCAGAATGTAAGCTCGTGAAATCGCAATAAAAATTATTAGGCTCGTTATGCAGCTTTTCTGCGCTAGACCCTTTTATTTTTTTCATATTAGATTCATTCTCAGGTACAATGACGTCATAAATACTGAAGCGATTTTTCATTCGCCTCGTAAATGTTCGTTTTCTCTCGTTTCTCCCTATTTTATTCGACCACAGAAACAAGGCACTCATGACACACGTGTTTTATTATAAGCCTACCCTGTTCCCACTATCGTTCGACACAGAGAATATATTTTTAGAAGCCTGTGTTCGTAAGGAAAAAATGACAATCTTAAAACGTCCATTGTTTCTGTCTGCCGTAAGAGCAATCTGTCTGAAATTTAATGCTAGATTTTTTCATTCACTTCAGTAAACTTTCAATAGGTGAATGACACATGCACTGAACTATTACTAATTATTATTTGATGCATAGTTATGCAAATTTTCTTAATAGTACATAAATGTTTTAAAAGTTCAATAGTATAATGAATAAAACCAATCTCTTTATGTAAGGTGAATGCAGTTCACGAATCGTGAAGATTTATTGAATCGAATATTTTGCCTGAATTTATTGTGCTATCGATTAATGATCTCCAAGAGTGTTAGTGGGACATAAATATTTCATATGACATCGATAGCCGATAGTGCGATGTTTATGATGTTCATAAAAATATCGACACTGAAACGATTTTATTTGTCGTGTTCGCTATTATAACTACAATAAAAATGTACAAATAAATAATTTGGATTGAATAGTATAAATTCTGTCTTTGTGTAACCGGCAACTAAAAATTCTTTACACACTGACTTGAAATCAACAATATTAGTTATTAAGCCCAAATTTCGATACCTCTGTACGTAGTTTTTACTTCTCATTAAAGGACTAGAAATTGTCTTAAGATATTTCAAAGGCGACGAAATAATAATGTTTTGTAATAAATTACCAGTAAAACTATATTTATCGGCATTTCTTTTCCATCAAGCTACATTAAGTACTTATAAACTATTTAAATGTATTAGATTAATTAAATCAGAATACATTTACATTTATTAAATAGAAAAAATTGGCATCCGCCATAACGCTTTTTTGAAAGGCAATATAATGTACATAAAACTATATTATTACAAAAATAGAAGTAATACATAATAATACCGTAAACAACAACAAGATCTTTGTGACCCATGTTCGAGATACATGTTACACTTTAATATATTTAATACATTATCTGTATTGATTTCTGACAATGGACTTTGATACTCCTCTTTGACCACGTAAACATATCATTCTGCCTCCTTACTATCTCAAAAAGGGCTTGAGCTCGTTCGTCTGTTATAAGTAAACCTTTCATGTATATTTTATTCGGTTATTTTGATATGTGGGCCCCTCGTATCACGTTCATTCAAATGACATATTGGTGGAACGTTTAAGTATGTTTCTCATCTAGAAAAGATCTACAGTTTTCTTTCGAAAGTAAAACCAAATACCATCTTGTGAAGAACCAATCTAGGGAATTGATTCTGCGTCCTCGGTCCCATTCGTAAGTATTTACGCACATGTTATATCTGTTGAGATTAAACATTTTATTAATACATCCATTTAAAGATATCTTATTGTGTTTTATTTTCTTGAGAAATTGTTATGTAATAATATAGACGTAACTTTAACTATAGAAACGAATGTTTTGAGTTAAAGTAGAACTCAAGAAAATTATAATACGACACTTTAATTATATTATCTATTACCTAAAATGATGGTTTAGGATCACTTGTTGGTCGAGCTTTGCTAGTAATTCTTTAAATTTAAATGTTTGTTTTTATATCTTGACCTGATTAACTCAACACACAGAACTATTATGCTGTGGCGGTTTGCAGTTGTGTTCACTTAATTTTTAAATTTAAAACACATATTGATAAAAAGAAAAGATTTCGGCAGTTCTTTCAATATCAAATTAAGTATTTTATATTCCTCCCGTCTCGAACGTTGATTAAACGTGTAGAAAGAATTTTCTTTACGCATTAATTAGTAAGTAGGTTTTTTAGAGCTCAGAGCCAACGTCATCATTGTCTTCATCATGGAGACGTCATTCGACATAATTCTTCATTAACTTGAAATATTGCCAAGAAAACGATAACTGCCCTCTTTCTCAACGCAATCCGCCTTTCATCTGCAAAAATTTCCATCCGTGCTGTTTTTAGGGTTCCGTTTTTCAAAAGTAACAAACGAACCGTTAAAGGAACATTTTGTTGTCTCTCTGCCAACCCCCTTTTTTTAGGAATGCGTAGAAGAATCAAATTGTATTTAATATTAAATGTCTTAACAAACACTTCAATAGTTCAGTACATTGTCAGTAGTCGGCACATTTTCTCTTCGACTTTACAATATCTAATTTCAGACACAGAAAAATGATGATGAGAAAATGGTCAGAGAGCTACTGATTAGTCATTACGTATTAAATATAAATAGTTTTAAGTGTTTTCGCTAAAATAATCGATAGCGCTCTTAGACGCCCTTATAGTCTATAGAATTTAAATATTTATCCTCAGCATATTGCCGTGCCGGGCAAGTTGCATCACCAGTTTGCTGATCACTTTTCCGTTTGAACCTTTTGCATTTCGCACAAGTAGGTAGTGTAAATTTGTTGTTTCAATCTTTAAAAGAGTGCCCGGTCTCACCATATTTAGCTGCATGTCCAAACTGTTGGCAGTCAAAGCACCTGGTCCCCAGCGTAAGGCCTCTAATTGGACAAGAAGTCCAGTTTATATAAATTCTGCCTAGATTTATGAGCGCTTTTCTAATATGAGCCGCTACCTCAAGTATATAGTTACGGGTAGGAAGACTTTTTGATTCGGCACTAATAATAAGACCCCATTCCTCACTTTTCTAAGGCCTCTAACATGAAGTTTTAGTTCTTTAGGTTAAATCATTTTTTGGACCAGAGACTTAGTATCTTCACTAGTTTTGGTCCTGACGCTAGGATAGATGGCAAGAGTACTAATATTGCTCTGATGAACAAACTTATCTGCAAAGTTATCTGCACCTTTTTTTACTAAATCGGTAAAAGACCTATGTTCCTGTGGTCTCAGCTTTTCTTCAACAACGGTTTTGAATCGGTTGAGGGAGCTTGTTACATCTTGAGTTTCTTGTAGATGCTGTATAGTGGTATGCGCAAGAATGGTCTTCTGCTTTAATGATTGATATAATACGGCCATATTTGTGACACGCATCTTCTGATCCGTGTTAATTTTCCCCTCCGACACTACATAGCAAACCTCATCCAACAGTGCATGCTTGACATCCATTTCTGGATCTCCGGCGTCTCTATTACGGCGCTAAGTAAATCATTGTTCTGGAGCAAGGGCGGTTCTTGAACAATTGGCTGATGTTGCTGTGTTGGCTTCGGTGGAGGACTCCTCCGTATTAACTGGCTACGGCCAAACGGGCTTGATCCCTTGTTAGACATAGTCACCAACACGGATAAACTGTTTATAACTATGTTTATAAGTCAAAGATTATTTTAGATCATGCTAAATACATAGTTTGCAAACAATAGGCATGAATCACTCTCGCTCGTGACACACTTAGCGGAAACTACTTACGCCATAAAATAATGATTTATTAGAAATTATATATGATTTCTATCTTATGCATTTTTTCGGATACAAACACGTCTGCTTAGTTAAGCGGTCGAAAAATATACTCTGCCTAAATGAACGAACGGATGGACAAACTATCTACACACAAGTGTGTACAGAACTCTGGGTGTGCGAGCCAAAATCGCACTTGACCACCTTTTTTGCTTTGTTGTGAAAAATGTTATTTAATTCCTGGCAATTATTACACGCGCTCTACGAAATTACTCCAAGGAATAGGACCCGCGAATGTTGGTTATATTTCAGAGAGAATGTATTTTTTGCTACAATGAAAGCTTTATGCCGAAAAATGAAATTTCCGCTCTTACCTTTATCTGTTCTTTATAATATTAGGCGCAATGCAAATAAAGGGTCACAGTTCGCAAATTGTATAACCAACTTTCACAAAGACTTTATTTAAACTTATTTTGTAAAATCCTATATGGAATTTTTAATTATAAATCTGGATATAAATCTAATAGTTTTGAATAACAAATCTATTTCCGCCTGTTACTTATTACCGATATCTAAAACGTGATATTACGATTTAAAGGAATTTAAATTAAAAAATTCTATGTAATTAAACAGTGATGTATGAATAGTGAATGATGAAAAACTTAATAAAAATAAATCGTAATCACCTAAACTCCAAAAATAATATAATTACTTTTGAGTCTACCTCAAAGAAGGAAACTTAAACTGTTTAACAACAAAATAATATCATCATTTTACGCCTTGGGTATTTATTTATTAACAAATTGAAAAAAATAAATTTTACATTCCCAGACTTTTTCTAACAATTGTAAAAACGAGGCTGGCAATTTGAAAGGATTATTATAATGTATTGTGTATTTGTAATAACAGATTACTTGCTAATTTACCTTTTCATAATGAAAAATATATTTAAATAGGTCGGCTTACGATTAGGCTCTATGTCATTTTTGCGTCTCTCAGAACAATTGATGTGTTCGGCTTTATTAAGTGTCTCGGCTGAGTGATACCTAGACGACACACGGCAGGTGCGATACAAAATCCGCGATGTCGCGTCATTTGTACATTTTCTTTATTACGTCGCGTGATTTATACCTTCGCCCGGTGCGTTTAACTGCTGAGGTCTGTCATTTCGCCGTCTTAAATTGAGATTGATCCAGGGGTAGGGCGGACTGACGTGTGCGTTGGCGTGTTTCAGAATTGTGTTTTTGTTTTATTTTGTTACCTTCCCCTTTGTACCGAGATGACGTCTTCGCACATGCAAAGTTAGGTGCCTGTCAATATATAGACGACTCGTTGCGACCTTATTTCGTTATCTTTAACATGAGGTATATTTAATATTACAAGTTACTTTATAAATGTCTCTGTCACATTAATATATTACATGATGTTTCGATACATGATGTTTTGTAATGTGGTCTGTTTGTGAAGGTACAAATTCTGACTGCCAACACACACGCAGAACTTATTGTTATTTCAATTATATTTTGTTGTTATTATTAGTTTTAGTTAAAGTAATTTATTAATATGTAGATCTAGGCTGTTAAAAAATATCCTGAATTGTGGTTACTGTACCTTATGGACTCAAGTACAACATTTAAAAGAAGTTGACTTTACTTACATGCGTTTTAAACACTTATCGTAATTAAGGACACAATAATTTTGACAAAAATGTTCTGCAGGTAAAGATTCCTTGCCAGTCATTTTTTTTATAAATCATTATCATCGCAACACTGTCCACAGTTCTAAAATATTTCACCAACTCTACAGGTTATATATTGTTATATAATCTACATCATATATTTTCTTTTGTCCACAGAGAGGCTCCGACGAGCTTCTTTCGCAGAGTGGCGTGACCGTCATGGCACCCGCCGCTCCGCACCACGCTGATAACAACAACCAGGACTCCGCCGCGAAAAAGGTAAATAAATGATACATTAGAGCATAGTTGTATACTTATATGAAACTATTCTAGTGACACAATTCCAATCAAAAATTTCTCAGTCCCAGTGCTGGAAGTAACAATAGCAACCACTTTATTGTAATATCTATTTTCATTAAACAGAATTTTTAAACTGATACAAAAGTAAAAATTACTAATGTAAGAACTGAAACAATAAAATGGATTCTATTCTATTAAAAAAAAATATTTGCTTAAAACCATAAGTATCGCAAATGAATTTAACTATATTAATATTCTGTCATAGAATTGAAAATAATGTAAATAGAATAAAATATTGCAATGCAACGTATTTAATCTCTCTGACATTGAGGTCAAAAATCTTAAGTCACCATTCAAACGGCACTTCTTTCGCTGAAATGCGTAATTAACTGAAAAACGATTAATCGCGATAAAACGGTGGAATCGCGAAACCGTAATAAGTATTAAAATAAAAGGTCCCTCGTAAAAAGCCAACGTGCCATAAAGAGGGTTCTGTGGCGGTTGGGGCAAAAATTTTATTAATCTCAACCCCCGTTGTCGATACAGGGATGAATTTTTACATATACAAATTAGATCGATAAAAATACCCGTAATTGTCGTAAAGGTGTTAAATAGAAATCTTGCAGTAGTCTCCTTTAGTCGTAGTAGACTCATAATATAGACTGGGCCATAATCGATTGTTCTCGTCTCGTCATAACACGTTTAATAATTAACATCTCGAACACGTTTTAATAAGGTATTTTTTGTTTTTATATATTTTATATTTTCTTTCAGACCGAAAGGTTAATAGCAATGTTTTTGTTGTAACAATATGTATTAATTGTATACGGATGCGATGTAAAAGTAATTCTACGGTCCTTTGTTCAATATTCATAAAACAATTTGAATGTTCACAAAAAGTTCCATTATCTTATTTCTTTGAACATTTTCTCGTCTCATTCCTTACTTGATAATTTATTGCGTTTGCAACGAGATGTGATATTTTATCGGTGTATTTGCTTTTGTCATTTATATTCGTTTTCAAAACAACTTACAAGTTAAAGCGATTTAATTTAACAATAATCCTCGTAGCAAATAATCTTGTAAGTGATTCAAAATTTTATAAGATTAATATATATCTATATATAAGTTTTAATAAGAGGTGATAATTTTTTCGCGAACTCTTATCGTTCATTACGCGTATGAGAATTGGCCTTTTTACTTAAAGATTTCGTATAAATTCTTGTTTATTTGTTTGTAATGAAAAACGTCAGTCCAAATATAATATTGGTATATGCTAGTTTGTCCGTGTGGTGACGGATTAATAATATTTAGTATTAGATAATAAAAATTTTGCCTTAGAAACATACTGATCTACGTGGTTATTTAGTTTATATAAATTGATGTAAATATTTCAGTAGTTTAGGTAATTATATAAAAATAAATAGTTGATAACGGTTTATTGATTTATTTGCTATCTATAACATTCAATCTTCAATTGGAATAAATACAAAAAAAAAAGAAACTAGTAAAATAAAATTGATAATATTTTATTACATTGCTCTTACACACACACACACAGTGTGTGTAAGAGCAAACCAACTGGTTTGCTTACATTACAGCAGACGGTACACACTAATTAACAAAACTCGACAAAATGTAGAAAACAATCAAGAGAAGAAAACACTAACAAAAATTAACAGGTAGGTACACGTTTTTGGGTCTTCGTTGCACAGTTGTTTCATCGTGTATTTACATAAATACGGGGAGTTTTGCATGCGCACTTTGTTGGGTGCTGTGCAAACAACTCTTTGTTTGTGGACACCAGCACTGGCCGTGTGTGCTCCCAGCCACCAAATGGATTGCATCATTCATTAAAACTTGAAATAACGTGTTACATTTCTGGAGCAGATTGTGTAACTTCTTGTAGGTCAACGAAAACAGCTCTTTGGTAGTACACATTGATTGATAAAGGTTTTTCAAGAGCAGTTGAAAATGTAGGGATAAGTATTTCACGAAATTATTTATCTGTAATCTCTCAAATCTAGCTGTTTAAGGTCACCTGATTTGTACCGTCAGTATCTTGTCCTCGGCAATTTCTACCATTCTGTAAAGACGCTAAAAAGAACAAGACTACCTTGGAAAAACACAACTAACACAAAACACTATATTGCATATACATATAAAGATGATAGTCGTACATTATTTGCCATCGAAAACATATTAGGTGTTTGCTACTCTTAACATCTACATAAAGATTATTTACTTAAAGAAATGGAGAACAGGTTGATAGTTTAGACTGCTTGTCACAATACATAAAAGTTCATACGGTAGCACATGCACACGATGGATCTGTCACTACTTATACACCGTTAGCACTTTTCATCACAATATTTTATCCCTGAAATATATATTTCTGCCGGTTTACTTATGTATGCACAAGTTAGATATGTACGCATATACTTAAGGTGCATATTTATCAGAATATATTAAAAATTTACAAGGATAGAGTGATCGGTTTATGTCGCTCACGAGTACCTCATATTTAACATTGGCTCAGGTATCATTTACGCAAATTAAATAGAAACGAACCGTCTCGTTGAAAAGAAACCATTTTCTTATTCTTTTCCGCAGGCAGTTTATTTCCTTCGCTGTCACCGGTCATTATGTCACTGTGAAAATAAAATATTATACTGGATGTTTCGTACAAGCAAAATGTTTTCTATTTACCTTCAATACGTATTATTTATGTAAAATAACAAGGTCTGAGTAAAATGTTACGCCATATTTAATTATGAGACATTTAAGGCATTGTTTCTTGCATGCCTTTGAGCTTAATCACAATTAGATGAGAAGAATTTGATATCTTAGACGTATTAATTTGTAATTAATAATGAAATGTTGCTGTTTACTATACTAAGGCTTTAAAGTAGTGCGATTCTGTCTCATAACAGTCAGCTTTTAATTATCCGCGAGAGGTGAACGAATTAAGTTTATAAAGTGATAAATTTATTTTCATGCAAAGGAACCGAATAGTTTTTTTTGGAATTAGGCAGATTTTGAAGCATTAAAATGTTAAAAAAGTACGAGGATTATTATACAGAATATTCATAATTTATTTGGTTCCTTAAATCAGTTCAGTGCTGTAAGATAGTATGAAAATTATATCTCAAGTACAATTTTATCTATTAAACCAATTTGCTTTTGATACCGCAGTAATATATAGGGATACTGGGTTAATCGACCTACATACTTTAAGGGGTTGTAGTTGCAATCACTTCTGATAGATTTCACTATGAAAGACCCTATCAGAAAACCTAACAATTTTCAAGATATTGACCTTGCTTGCCGAAATTTTATCATAATTATTATTTTTTGGAAATTATTTCCTAAATTTAATGATTTATAATACTGTTTTTGCGTAGTTGATACATTTTTTCATAATTTCCATTACAAAAATTGTATTTAACTTAAAATACTGGGCCAAAGTGGATAGATAATAACAGCATAAAGAAATAAATTTGTAAAAAAAATGTTTTCTTTGACAAATTTCATAAAAAAATCTAAGAGAATTAAAAAAACATGTGCGTATTGTAGGCTATCTAACAAGGTATAATAGCCTAGGACAGTATTAGAACTTAAAAAAAAATGAAAGACCCATTAATAATACTCCCATTAAGAATTAGCGTACCACCCGGTAGTACCTAGTTGAAAATTTGATTTGATTTGTGCTTCTGATACTATTGGAGATGATGACCTATACAATTACCTAAACAAATACCGGTCTATACAAGGTTTCTTAGTGTACCAACATTAACCTTCAAGGTGTACTATAATTTAAGATTCCAAACAAAATGAATAAAATAATTCCCTGTCCCTCCAAATAGAACAAAATAACCATTTTAGTTTCGTAGCGTTTTGCCGTCCATTTACTCCTACTCTCACTTGTTGGGTTCTAAAAAAAAGCTTGCCGCAGTAATCTTAATTACATTGTGATCTCGTTACAGCTTGGCCTTAATTCATAATTAAATAGGGACGTGTCCCGGCCTTGCTTATTTATTTGCTATTTTATGGTTTTGCGATTGCGTCCTTCTTTTTTTTCTCTGCCATGAAAATTTAGGGGGTGCCTTTTTGCGACACCCCTTCTCCTTTGTGACTCTGAATATTCATTTGGTGCCTATCGGCGAAATGGCGACTCGTTTTTAAAAGTATTTTTTTATGTTTTTTCTTTGTGTTGTACGGCAAACACTTCATGCTGTTAAAATATTGAAGTAAAACACTGTTTTTACATAAATGACTTGAATTTATATTGTTAAAATAGTTAATTTAGCTTTTATTTTATGTCATGTAATGTCGAGTGTATCATGATGTTACTTAATGTAAGTAATACCAAGTTAATTTAGTGGCAAAAGCCTAAAGCTTAGCTAGATAATATTTTTCTCAAAGTAAGACCAGCTGTCCTAATAGATCAGAGTTCGTACCAACTACAAGTATCAACTACGTTGTTAGACCCCCATATTGAACAAATTTTAGAAACCTAATATAATTATCTACGAATCAGCCTATTGTTTTGATCTGAAACCTTGTAAATAGAATAGAATGAATAGTAGTAGTAAGAATAGAATGACAAAAATGTGGTGAAAAATACAAGTTTAATAAATACAAGTTTCAAGTTTTCGTTCCCATTGCAATGCTGTTGTCCTGTACCTAGTACCTGTGTACCTAGTTTGCTCCCTTAGTCGGCTCCTACGACACCCACGGGATTAATAGTGGTAGTGACAACTCGTATTTTTAATCCGACACCATACGAACATCGGACAATCGCTTAATGCAACTGATAGTCAATCACATCAATGCAATGCCAGTTAACAATTACTCTACCGGGTCCTAAACTCATAGAAATGTCAGTATGCACCACCTCTTTAAGTATAGGGTTCTTATTACCACGATAGCGTTATAATATGTATGTTTACGAAAGTCATTCCAATATCACATGTAGT